TTCATTGTTGTTTTCATTGAAGTATTACTCAGGGAACAATGTTAAAGATATGGGATAAGAGTTTGAACTATGGCTCAGGATTTCCACTGTGGCGTGCTTCTATTGTGAGCCATACGTGGTGCGACATAGTGGAAACGTGTGAGCGTAGTTGGAGTATATACCCTATGTAAGTTAAAAATCAGCAAGGAAACTAACTTCAAAGTGAAGCATTTTAGTCACTTGAAGATGTCATCTGGGACGAACTGATATATAATAAATATAGGTCAAAGTCAAAAACAACTTGAAACCTAGCTTGAAACACGTTAAATTTTGGATAGCATGCACAAGTGCAGCTACTTAATAAAGCATGGGTTATGGTTGATTGGGTGGATTAGAGATTTCAATTATATAGTAAATTAGGCTAATGAAATATCATAATCATCAAACGAAAATTTAGGCAGCCTAATGACATTAAGTAGACTGAAAAAGGAGTTAGGATGCGGGGGTCCGCTTAGGGAGGCAACTAGCCTTTTCATATATTGTCTGTTTATTTTGATGGTTGCTTTAAAATATCAATTTGGTATATATGTGAAAGGATGAATCAGTGGGAGATAGATTTAGGGTTTCTTTACATTTTGCAGCACAAATCTAGTTCAAGTGGTCCGCATAGACTATTCAGCCATTACCCTTCCTTTATCCTCGGCTTTGGATTGACTTGCGCTCCCATTGCCCCACCAAACGCTGCAAAATGATAATGAAAATGAAATTCACCAAATGGACACAGCCTTAGAAATAGCGTGTATGCCCCTGAGAGGTCTCTTCGTCAACGCGACTTTCTGTTTTGGAACCACGGAGCCGGAATTATACACAACACGAGCCAATTCGAGCAATCAGCAGGCAATTCAACACCTTTTTTATATGTTCGACTTCAATGTATCAGCTGACGTGTTTCGTCATCGGCTACTTGGCCTTTTCCGCACCGTTGACCGTAACTATTTAGTTTAAGTTTTATTCATTTAGACAATAATTGTCAGTTGAAGTTTTCAATAAACAATAAACAACAATACACAATACTCAAATATGTAGTTAATTTATATTCATTCGACAGGAAAATTAAATTCTCCAAATTAGTAAAATAACCCAAATTGTGCGTTATTATTCTTTGGGCGCCAGAGAATTGTAATTTTGGAAATTCCCTTTTAAGTTGAACTTAATTCAACAACAGCCGTTGCCTGCGTTGGAGTTAAATGTTATTGCGTGCCTCTAGCCATTTCCATATTAGGGGTGGTTGAAAAATCGTTTATTTTCAAAAATTCATAACTTTTTCAAACCGATTTCAAAGATTAGAATATCAAATGAAAGGTAATTAAAAATACTTTTTAGAAAAAAAAATATAATGATATAAATAAATTGGGATTTTGTATTGAAAAAATATTCATTGTACCTAGTCACACTTAAACAGAGACCCTGAGTTCGGTAAAAAAAAAATACCGTTTGAGATCGATAATCCTAAAAATTATAGAGGTATTTTCTCACTTTATTACTGAAAACTGTAAATGAAATGACCGAATTTTGGTGATTTCATTTTAATTTAACGAAAACGGTAATCACTTTTAACGGCAGGTCAGTAAATCAGCTTCATCACCGGGTTCATCACTGACTTCGATGAAATATTTTACTTGTTACAATGGTCAAATTGTGGTCATCAAGGAACAAATTCTACATTCGTACCCGTAGGTACAAATATCACCCCTGCTTCAAATTCTTCATCTATACCTGCTCCTCTCGCTGCTGTTCAGCGAGTAAATGGAGCTTCCTATGCTGCTATTGCCACGGGTAGAAATCAAAATACTAACCAACGTAATCCTAACGGAAATTTTGAAAATTTTGACTTAGGAAGCATTACTGCTCCTAAAATGAAATTTTTACAGAAATCATTAAATGACATGATTACTGATATGCTTAAAACTAACTCCATGTTTGATGCTATTCAAACTGGAGTAAAATTTGCGAACAATACTGTCATGACTTTGAAATTCAGTAATGGATTTTAAATCATTTAATATTTTAAATTGGAATGCTCGATCTTTTAAAGATAATGAAGACGAGCTATTTAACTTTTTGTGGGTGCATATTGCCGTTATAACTGAAACGTTCCTTAAACCTGACCATAAGGTTAAATGGGGCGCAAATTATTTCATTTATAGAAATGATCGTCTTGATGGAGCCGGTGGTGGCGTTGCCATTATTGTTCATAGACGAATCAAGCATAAAATTATTTCTTCATTTGAAACCAAAGTTTTTGAAACTTTGGGAGTTTCTGTTGAAACAAAATTTGGACAACTTACGTTTATAGCTGCCTATCCTATTTGCCATTTCAATGCGTAGGCCAGCAAAAGAATTTTCTCAAGGGTGACCTTCAGAAACTTACCCGTCATAGGTCTAAAATCTTCATTATTGGTGATTTGATGATGCAAAACTTTTGAAAATAATGCGTCTAAATTAGTTTCTTCCTTAGATTCTTGAGAAAAATTACAGGTGAAAATAGTTTTTCTATCTCATCATGAAAACCATACCAACTTTATGCCATGATAAATCACAAAAAACATTTTTGTACGTGAATTTGTTTTTAAAAATACGAAAAAATGTGATTGATTCTTTTTAGATTTTTGATATCTTTTCCCAATAATTTTAGAAAAATCGAAACTCATTTTTTTTCGGAGCGGTCACCGGCCCAAAAATAAAAAAATATTTTCGGTACGTTTTTATTTTTCTAAAAATATTGGGAAAAATTATCAAAAATCCAAGAAAATCAGTTTCTTCCTTAAACTTTTGTCAAAAATTACATGCAAAAAAAAATTTTCTATCCCATCATGAAAAAAAATTGGACTCTCAAAAAAACCGAAAAGTTGATGTTTTGTGGTTTTTTGAGTCTAACTTTATGCCATAATGACTTATAAAACATGTTTTTGCACGTGATTTTTTTTTAAAAAATTAGAAAAAATGTGATTTTTTTAGATTTTTGATACTTTTTTTCAATATTTTTAGAAAAATCAAAACGTAATTATTTTTTTCGAAGCGGTGAACTTCCCCTGGTGGTAAAATTTTGATTAAAAATTCGGAAAAAGCTCAGAAACTTGCTAAGCAATTCAAGAATTTCCATAATTTCAGTTTGGGTCTTACTAGTCCTATTGAGAATCTGGTCGCTCGGGATTATCTTAATATTTTCTCTCGGGAAAATATTTTTGATGATTCCTGGGGGACTGATTTGGACGAAATAAGGTGTATAACTAAAAAGTTTCATAATATGAAAGCTACAGGTGATGATGGAATTTTCTATATCCTCATCAAAAAAAAACTCCCAGAGAGTACCTTGCCTTTCTTGGTAAAATTATTTAAGGGAGAAAATACAAGTAAAAGTTTTTTTTTATCGATTTTTTATATTTTACTTTAAAAAAAATTAAAAAATGCTACGAGCACGAGGAAGGAGTGATCTATGGCCCCGGTATCGCCGATTAACCGTAAGTTCCAGAAATCATGTTTTTACACAACCCAAAACTTTAAACGCGTTTTTCTCGAAACGGTGTTTTCCAAATTGGCGGGAAAGATAACTCAAAAAGTTCTCATCCAAATGACTTGAAACCTGGCGCTTCTTAATAAAGGAAATAGATTTTTACTCTATGTTAAAGTTGTAACTAACAAGATGACAAATGAGCAACATCTTCCGGATTCAGGTCGATATTGTCTATTCGTCATCTTGTCAGTCCCAACTTTGTTTACTCAGGTAGCCCTACTTTTGACGGATATGAGTAGATCCTACACAAATTTGGGTTGTTTAGAAATAGCGTGTATTCAACGTCTCTGATTACGCTTAGGCCTTTAACTTTGACGCTAAACAGTTAGCTGGGATACAATAAAAAAAAATTATCACATACCTCATGGTGAAATCCATGTGAATTTCACATAGCTTTCCTGTGATCACATAGCTGCAAATCCCACCACAAAATCACATGAATATTATGAGGCCGATGACATTCATATGAAAAATCATATAATGTTAATTCGATCGCATAAATGTTATGTGAAATTGTTCCGTTTCCCATACAAACTTTATTTTAAATACTTTTTCTTGAAGTAATGAAATTGGGTTGTTAGCGGAATGCTTAAATAAAACAGCAAAAAAAAGGTTATCTTCCATTTAATTCCACTTAATTAATTTTGGTATCCATGACAGATACGTATTTCGACTACAATGTGCAGTCTTCATCAGTGTCATTCCCACTAAAGAACTTTTCAAAATCTAAATCAAAATCAAAATCCCCCTTAAGTACTCATCCCCTAGGTATAAAAGTCAAGATCACAGGTATAAAAATGAAACTACAATGTGTTGAATCGGAACCTACCTAACTAATTAAAACCAAAGATTTAAGTAAACTAAAGGTGAAAAATCTATTCAACTCTCTAATGAGGAAAATCCCAAAGTCAACTTCTTCTTAGTGATTAATCCTTGTAGTCCGGTTTTCGGATGATCATAAATAAAACAACACAAATGTCCATGTTAGTTCAAAATAGCGCCAACAATAATAAGGTCCTAACTGTAATTTTTCGAAAATCGCTACTAAACGAGCAACGATCGATGGATCTTTTTCAATATATCGTTCATTCATTACCCGTTTAGTGGATACGCGCCTTTGGCCTATCTCTTGATATTCTATCTTGAGTTTAAGTCTTACAATAATGGAAACAATAGTACAGACATTGTGTATGAAATTTCATGAAAAATATCGACTTACAGATAAAATTACTAAACAAGTGTAAACTATGCTGTGGCGTCCTAGTGCAATCATAAGAACGTAATACCCTGGACAGACTATGGCTTATATCATGTAATATAGGCTGTCTTGAAATGAGCACTCATACATAGGATTTCCAGTGAAAACTAGATGTATGAGTGCTCATTGCAAGACAGCTTATATTACGTGATATAAGCTGTAATATGAACGGGGTATAAGGGTCAACACTTTGAACATATATCTATTACTTAAATCATGACAAACCTCTTGCTCCAAAATTTCAGTTAGGTCCTGTTAATTCTGAACGCCATAATTTTATTTGAATTAGATTTTCCATCTTTCGGAGCTCGGTTGTTGCAAATTCTTCTTGCAACGTTTGGTATGATGGATACAGATCACGAATCAAGAAAGGTCAACACCTTGGTGTTATTAAAAAATGATCTTACCTAGTTCTAAAAACGATAATCTCGATACAAGGGAGAAACGCGTCTTATTCCACTTGAGAGAATTTGGCAGCGATTCTCATCTGCCGTTGTTTCGGTGGAGCTGCGGTGGACGAGTTTTGTTCGATCGACTACAAAAACAAAAGAAGGACAATCCGGATTATTTTGGTTTTCGTCAATCAATAGAAAACAGTTTTTACCTTCGAAATATGTTCACCTTGTTTCGCTTCGGATTTATCACTTTTTGCTTCCATCGGTACCGACTTATCAGAGATCACAGATTCATTAGCCTTTTTATCGGCGGCCAGGAATGTTGCAAAGCTTTGCTTTACCTCTTCCTGTTTCTGTTCTACCATTTGCCTGTGTTCGGCATTTTTCTGAGCAAATGCCGTTGCTGATGGGTTGGCATGGGTCGGTTGCTTTTTGCTTGCATTGGCGGCCGAGGCCGCGGTTGTTGTTGTGGAATTGTTGCTAGGGTTCTTGGACTTGAGAATTGCCTGCAATGGTACGAATGCTCCGGTTCCTGCGGGTGTATTTCGATTGTAACTGAGGTTCTGAGGCCCTTTTGGACCCCGTTGGCGCTGGTTGTTATTGGATCCGTTGCCTATGTTATTAGAATACTGGGGCTTGTACAATTGTTGCGGCTGCTGGTGCATCGGCATTAGCTGGGGGGCATGGTGATAGCGAGGCATTGGATGCAGTTGGTTCGGATACCCCGGCATTGGTGGTCCTGTTGGGTAGATTCTGTTGTGCGGAATGTTGAACGGAGGAATCTGCATGAATGGCGGCTGATGGTGCATAACGGGCGGAGCATGCTGAGGCACATGTGGGTAGTGGTGTGGAATCGTTACCCGGGGTTGTGGCTTCGGGCCCTCCTTCACTGTTGGAGGAGGATTCGTGCATGTGTTGATGGTGGAGTTTTGCTGTTTTGGTTGCGCACTTTGACCATCGCTGGGCGACTTTTTGGGTGACCTCCACGATGATGGCGGTTTTGGCAAATTCTTTGGCATGGGAATGTTTACCACCGGTTGAGCTGTAGGAGCGTTTGTTTGCTGGCATAGGAAGAGAAAATAGTTAGATTTTTAGGTTAATCAATATGGTGAACTGTTTATAAATATGATGTTCCGAACTGCTTTAGCACAGCATAGTCGGTTAACAAAATGAAAGCAAATCGGTATAAAGATTTGCTGCTCCTGTCTACTGAAAACTTATTTTGATTTCAATTGTAACGACATAAGTCTGATATCATATTAAGCTTTCGTTATAAAGTTAAGATTTTTTTTTAATTAAAGTGGTGTTGAGTACTTGGCACTGATGAAGTCTGCAAGTAGTAGACGAAATACGCGTATCTGTCAAAAGATAAGCAATTATAACGAAATTTATAGGAAATAAACCAACACACTCAAAGCTCTTCATAAAGGGATTCCGTTAAGAGGTTCGACAATTTTAAAAGATTAAAAAGTAAAGTAGTTTAACTTCAAGTTTTGCTGTTAACGTCTTGTTAAACATTTAATTGTTGTTCTTATGATTATTGTTAATTTGTTTTGTTCAGTGTTGGGAAAATATCAAAAAATCAAATCTCACCAACGCCCAAGATCACGCTTGATTTTCGTAGACAAAAATCAACAAGCAAACAACTGCGGTTGATTTTGCAAGCTGTGATATCGCAGCTCAGAAAGCTAACATTAGGATTGGGCGATCTTGGATCGATCTTTGGAAGATCGATCTTTTTCATCCCGATTTACGATTTTTCGGATCGATTATTTGTCCACGAGAAGATCGAACAAATCGATCTCTTCTTTCGATCTTTTCAATCTTCAAACAAATAATAGATGTTAAATTTTTTAAGTGTGTTTACATCGAAAAAACGTTTTACTCTCACCGCAGACTGCGTTGTAAATTTAAAGAAAATAACGTCAACATCAGCATCGCTCCCTACAATGATGTCACTATTTGCGTTTCCGATATTTACGCATACAGCAACATTTGAAGGTTTGAACTGCCTCCCTCCAATGCTAATTGCTCCTTACCGTCACGGCAACATTTTTAATTGAATATTATAAAAGAATGAATTTCTTGGGGTACGAACGAAAACAAGCGTATTTAAAATAAGAATCAAAAGATCGATCTACCAAAGATCGATTCTTTGGTACCGATTCTAGAACCAAATATAAGATCGATCCGTCAAGATCGATCTTTCTTTGAAGATCGCCCAATCCTAGCTAACATATCTCACCAGCTGCAAATCTCAACAAACTGTGGTGAGATTGAGTTTCGTGATTTTGCTTTACACCCGAACGCAACTGAAACTTCCATAACGGCTGGCAGCAGTCATTTCGTGTTTGCCATCGGTGAATAGTAAAAAGAGATAGCAAACTATACCTTCTCTTTCTAAGAAAACGATGTGCAAGGGAATCATTTTTGTGTTGAGTCAACTCTCAGCTTGATTTATGCACGTTGTGAATAGTCTCGCAATGTCGCAATATCAAAGGAGCTTGTAAAATCAATATCAAACATGATAGGGGAATTTACGTATTCTCGGCAACCTAAGCAGCGACCTTCTCTCTATAGCCTTTTTCTCTAAGGAACGCACACATATGCAGTATTGGTTTGTTTACAATCTTTTGCTGCCAGCTGCTCTAACAATTTCAGTCAGCGCTGCCATTTATACAGATTTATCTGTATTATACAGATTTTTTAATCTTAATACAGACCCGATACAGAATACAGATTTATCACAGATTTTTAAATTACAATACAGATTTATACAGATTTTTATAAAATGATGCATATGGAGCTGGTAGTAAACGATTTGAGATTGTATGGGGATTTACAGTATTAATTGAATATTTCCAATATAAGCATGTATGTTAAATACAAGAAAAGTGCCCGAGCACATTAAAATGGTACAAATACAAGTACTCGTAAACATTTTACTTGCATTGAAAATGTATTTCGTAAGAAATTGCGGATTTTCTGATATTCTCCATATTGCAAAAATGATTTTACCAGCACTGGCGGGGCGACATCTCTCGACTTTTCGGTGTAACTACCACACAAATGATGTAATTAATTGTATTCATCTATATTAAAAATATCAAATAGTAATGAACTCGTGCACTTTTTTGCATTTAAAACTGCTTATCAGGAAGATAATGAATAGAAACTAAAATCTCCATACATTTTCAAACGGCTTCATATCACTCTTATAAATAAGTACGGACGATATCACAAATGGCGCAATTATATCCCGTATGGTTAGTACGATAGCCCGAATAGGTGGTTAAGCACTTTTTATGGTTATTTTGTATGCACTGTATTTGTAAAACAACAAAACATGATTAATTAAGAAAAAAATTGTCAATACAGAAAATACAGATTTTTTAATAGAGTGGATACAGATTTTTTATAAAACCACCTGGCAGCTCTGATTTCAGTCGAAAGAATTGTCAAAAACTGTTTTGAAACGCTTTTACAAAGCTCCAATCTTCTCTAGTGAGAGCGAGTATTGTCGGCAGTTTTTCTTCGGCAACCGTTCCATTTGAACTGCATGTAAATCTGCTGTTCTATTATCGGCAACTCGAAATCAGCTACAATTTGTAGTGCGTGTGTTTCATTTCAAGAAAACCTTGCTAGATTGCTTTTTCTCAGTGGTAAAAATATAGTCAAATTGAAGCTGAAAGCATAAAGAATCGTTTGCATGCATTCAGCGAAGTGTTTTCGTAAGAAAATCCAGTGAAAATAGTGTTTCAATTTGTGTTGCCGAAAATAGTCTGTCATGCCGAAGCCGTCATTTCCCCTATTTTGTTCCAATATCACGCGTGATATTGAGAGCGTATGAGAGTGGAAAAATATCAATTGATTGATGATTTTGCCAACATTGGTTTTGTTTACCACATTTTAGCTCATTCGTGACTTGTCCAGGGCAGTCTTGTAAGCAGTCACGGTAGTCGACACTTTTTTGTGATAATCGACTGCCTTTGCCTCCGACCAGTGCACTGCAGTGGCGTCCCGTAACCTCACTTTTTACCTGTGCACCAACTTTCAAAACCAGATTTAATGCCATATTCATACTCGAATCGGTTGAAACATACACTAAATCTTCTAGTTTACTCGATATATATCCATTGCAAGCAATATTTTGATAATTGTTTATGTTTTGAGAGTTGGTGCGCAGGTAGATTGAGGTTAAGGAAACGCTACTGCTTCCGACACTTGCAAAACAAGCTATCATAGTACAGCACCAAAAAATGTCATATGACAGGCTCTGTCATACGACACTGTCGCCAAAGACCGTCACGAATGTATGTATTTCAGATTTTCTCATAATAAAAGCTGCTGATGTTGTGCTTGTGTGAATTCTGAAAATAGCAAGCAATGATGTCCTAGTAATAACATTTCTGATCAGAAATGGTTTGATTTACACCAAACTGAGGAATTAGAACGAAATCACATATGTCATATGATAGTTATTTGATAATTTTCTTTTTGCTCGAATGTTATTCTACCGTTTGTGATGTATGAGACAGACGACGGTAGAGCATGAGTGTACGAATACAAACAGACTGTCGCGTACGACATCGAAGCGAGTGTAGTAAAAAACGTCAACCGTTTCAACCCCTGGTCCAGGGTGAGATTTGAACTTTACAGGATGAGAAACATCGGATGCTAATCATTTACGCCACGCCCGTATTGATTTAAATATTAATAATGCAAAATCAGTAATCAAATTGATTTCCTTCAATGCAGGACTAGTTTTCCGTTTGATTCCTTCCTCAGTGTAAAATTTTGTTCTCATTTTTGCTGTGCTAACCCGTTAACTAAACCAAAATGAGATCAAAGTGAGTAATCAAAAAAGTTGCATAATAACAGCAAATTTTGATTTCAAATTGATCTCAATCTGCTCGGGTCATGGCTGCTGCCCAACACATGGTCAAAGTTCTCAGCGATAAGATCGTACGCCTAATGAAATTATTAAATCACAGCATCTCATGAATCGAAATAACGATCATCTGATGACGCATTGTTCGAAGAACAGTACATTTCTATCGATGGGTCCAACCTTTAGATACTTAGGCCAAGATTAGAGCTATTTCCCTATATGTACATTCGGAAATCACCAGCAGGTCTGTTTCAAGAGGAAGGGCCGGCAGTACCCGGAAAGGAATGCGGAAGGTTAATTTCTACCTAGTCTTCTAAGCCGTGCTTAGACTTGTCGGCATGCTTGGCATTCACAGTTGTACACACCAACTGCTCATTTGCTAATAACTTCGCACACAATTGACGTAACATAGTTCTTTTTGAAGCAGTAGATAGAATCAGGGTGGCCAGTGACTTTTCCCATTTGTTTCCCGGTTCAAATCATAAAAATTTCCCCGGTTGTTAATATTCAACAAAAAACGACATTGTACGCATTTTTTAACACGGTTTAAGAGTTAAAACAAATTACAGAACAATCGATAGAATCTGTGGACAAACCCTGGAATTTTCAGTAAAATTTAAACGTATTCAAAGTGTTGATTTCAAACAACTATTGAGGAGGCCCACCTAGTTTTCAAAGGAGAAGTTCTGAGCAAAATTCCAGAATTATATTCTGACATGAAGTCCTTAGAAATTGTAAGAAGAATTTGGATGGATTTCTGTGGAGAAGATTGCAAGTTCTAAATTAAATTATTACGTAATTTTTGAAGAATCCCTAGAGAATTATGGTGAGAATTCAAAAAGACACAGAGTTCTAAGAGTGTTCTGGCGATAACTTCAACCCTAGTGTGAAAAATTCATCAAAATTTATTGCAAAAAAAATTGGCAATAATTAAAAAGAAATTCTTTAAAATACTCCAAGGGGTTCCTAAATAATTCTAAATTTCGAAAGATTTATGCTATTTTGAATAGAGTTAAAAGAAAATTTTGAAAAAATTTTCATTGAATTCAAAGTCTCCGAATAGGTTTAAGGGAATTCCAAGACGGATTCCAAACAATTTCTTAGAAGGGGTTTCAAGGAAATACCAGAAAGAATTCAACGGTAATTATTACGCAGAGTGTTTTCTGGTTAATTTTAGAAGAATTCTATAATAATTCAGAGCAGAATTCCAAGTTCATTTTTGAATAAAATTAAACCCCGGGAGTGATTAAATTCTAAAAACAATAAGAGGGGATACTGACAAAAATATGCAGCCAATAGAACAAGACATTAAACTAAATAATCACTTTTTTTTATTGGTTTATTCTGAAATCCTGGTGTAAACAATTGGTCCTATGGTATGGTAAATTTATTTCTCCCGGTTCTCTCGACGAATTCCCGGGTTTTTCCCGGTTACTTTTCAAATTCCCGGATATTTCCCGGTATTCCCGGTTCGCTGGCCACCCTGTAGAATAGAGTTTAAGCTTGTTATAGATACGTAAAAACAAGTAGATTTTAATTCTAGTAATAAACTGTATTTGTTTTTGCGTTGTAAAAATTAAGTGAGAAATGCTCGCTGCACATCTCGTACTTAAAGTGTAAAAATTCATTGGTGTTGATTCAAATGTTAAGATTTACCTACTCTTTGCATATCTATAGTAAACTATGATCCTAATCTATCAATTACTTTCAAGAAAAACAAATTTCAACACCTGAGTGAAAAGTTATTAACAAATGAGCAGTTGGTGTGTACAACAGTGTCGGAACAATGCAATGGTTTATATAGCATAAACAATTAAATGAAGTACCTACCAATACGAATGGGCTGTCGTTAGTGGTAGGAGCCACCCCATTAAGTACAGTAGGCGATGTGACGTTCTCCTCCTGTCCGGTGGAGTTTATTCTGAGCATCTTCCGCAGCATATCCGAAGGATCTGTCACCGAATTTTCATTCACCATATTATCAGTTGATTTCGATGCTGTAACTTCAAGCGTCTTGGGCGGCAGAGGAGGTGCCACATTTTTCACTAGGAAGCTCTGCATATCCCGGTCATCGATAGTGGACGGTACTTGCGGGGATTCCTTCAGCTTGTGCCACAGCTTGCCGAAATCACAGGAAGTCTGTGAGTTGGGATCCGATACTACGCTTTCTTCCAATGGCTTCCTATTGGCATGAACGAAAGCCTTGTTTGGGTTATTTTTTTCTATTCGTTCATTGAGGCGTTTCTTGATGGATTCCGCCGTCAGGGTGGGTTTCTGGGGATGCATGCGAACCACGTCATATTTTTTCTGGTGGTGTTGTGACGGCTGATTACTGCGTGCAATGAATTCTTCCGCCGGCATGATGATTGGTTGTGCCAGGTCGACTTGTTTGTACTCCAAGTCTGCTGTACCGAACGAGATGTTCAACACGGCTCCTTCCGCAACCCGAACGACGCGGTTTCTAGTGGCGGCTATACCGAACACTTGTACGCCATTGGGAAATTCCTTATCGAATAATACATCAAGATATTTGTCCCCTTCGGCAATGACGCTCTCCTGACGAACGGGATTCGGGTCTTTGGCCAGGTGAACCCCGATGATGGTTCCCCTATAGCCCAAAGGCACAACTTCAGTTTCCCGAGCAATGATTACACGATCGAGCAGCTCATAGTTGGCTTTATGGTCTATACTTCTGGCCTGCTTCATTCCCGGTTTGTACAGGTCTTTCGGGTGAACAAACATCGTCTGTATCGTTGGCAATTTGCTTGCCTGTTCATTCACTATATTTACCAACGCTTCTACGGCATTGGGTTCCAGCATCACTGTACCACATGATCGTTTCTCTGCTTTAGCATGATCCTGACTCTTGATCCACGCTATCAACTCTTTCATTCCTATATCATCGTCTTTGTTATCACTGAATACCTCTCCCTCGAAAAGAATATCGCCCCTTCCGAAATGCTCCAAACGTTCAAACAAACGAGGAACTTTTTCGTGGTAGCTCTTCACCAGTTCGACAACTTTCTCCGAAAACATCCAAGTTTTGTGCACCTTCCTAGTGTATCCTACTGTTTCTATATCCTGTGTGACCATTCTAAGCTGCAGCCCAATATTCTGTTTGCCACCTTCATCTATATTTACCGATCTTCTCGGTCCCTTCAACATGAATATAGTCGACGATAGTCTGCCCAGCAAATTAGCCGATATTCCAATCATCGAAGCAGCATCCTGCATAGTCAGATATTGACTCTTGGCTTCTTCATTGATGTCTACGACTTTACTCAGATCGGGTTCCTCGTGAATTTCAAATCGCGTTTTGATTCGCTTATGTCCAGCGGTTACATCGATCACGTAACCCAAACTACCGTACCACTGCGTAGCCCGCAGAAAGACAATACAGTTCTCAGGAAACATTTCGTTAATTTCCTGGTAAGGTTTCAACGTCTTTAGAGCTTCCTGCAGATCCGTCACAATCGACTGCACCGGGTACATGGTTTCATGCACATTCCAGAGCTTATTCAGTACGTAGCGATTATCCTTCAGTACATACTCGCTGCCAACACATGTTTTCACATGAACCAACTGATCGATATAACCCAAATCGATCGCCAACCGGTTGTTGTGACTGCAAATTTAAACACAAATTACTTTAGCAATAACCCGAATTCTGCATCCCTTCGCTAATACTTACTGTTCGATGATAGCCTTGACCCAGGTGCCGAAAAATTTGTCATTATTCTCCCATGGTTCACGGTCCCTTTCGAATACCTGCTTGGCGTCAGCTACCTTGACTACTTTGGCCTCCGTCAGATGTGGCCAGCTGACGTACACGATACGACCAAGCAATTCTTGGGCCAATACTTTTAATGGTTTATCGCTGGCACCCACCGGCCGATCGATGACCACTACCATACTCGAGTTCCTACTCGGGAAATTGAACACCCTTACACGTGCTTCCTTGATTATGCCCTGTTGGGGTGAAATGACGAATGATGTAGTTACATTTGCAAGCGATTGAAGCTTAGATATTTTACATGTATTACAGTCACGCCAGTGTTATAGGTCACCCACAAACATGAGCCACTTCCATTTGATTAACACGCAGAACTGACTGACCCATAATATTATTGACTAGCTGGCCCATAATACTGGGGTGACTGTAATTATCTAAAATTGAAGTGATTTGGGAAAGAATACATTGAGTAACGCTTTCACAGTGATGTTATTAGACGGGCAGTAGGAACGCAATAAACTATGAAGACTTAAGTTCATATAGGGGGAATAAATAACAAGGGAAGAACAAAAAAAATGAACAAACAATTCGACAGTGAGCATGCATAAGGGCGTAAACGCGATGATGGATTCTCTTCGTTTGCTGTTGCTTTTTATAGCCAATTAAAACCATTGAACAAGTTCTAGAAAATTGTTTCGCTTAGCTGTAGCAATGCAAAGAGAAAATTGATGAAGAGAATCGATCATCGCGTATACGCCCTTATGTATGCTCACTGTCAAATTGATTTAATAAAATTATAAATTAAAAAAATGTAGCTTTACGATAAAGCGCAGAACGAGTGACGATTTCTTATAAACCTGATATTTGGAAATGTCGGGCGGGGTGACATGAAATAAAAATATTAATTGCATCAGCCAAATCTGAATTATTTTTTTTTTTATGAATTTTAAATGCTTTATTTTGTAACAGAAATCCTGTTTCTCTCAGGAGTATCATTTTACAACAAAATATTCACTCATGTATTATGGTTTGCCATGGGTAATCAATTTACTATGGCATCACTTTATGTTAGAGAACATGCATAAGTGACATAGCATTTGAGCGTGGAGGGTTGGGGGTTGGTTCTAGAAGTTGTGACCGGGCATGGCAAAACACGCTACGAGGGTGGAGAGGCGATCTAAAATTGGTCAAATAAATGATACGTCATTTATGGATGGTCGCATAATAACAAACATGTGTAACCAAGGACGCAGGGAACTCGAATGCATAGGAAATATTTCAAAAATAGAGAAATATAGTTCCAGGAGAAAAAATTGGTTTTACTATGGTTAATTTATCGCACTTAGCATGAGACAACAAAAATTGATTAAAATCTTAAGTGTCTAGATTTGAAATCTTACAAAATCTTATACATTGATTTATCCGAATGTATATGTTAGACAATTGAAATATAGGGCAGTGTCTAAAGAGCTGGCAAACGTGTGAGACCACTTTTTTTGGCGTATACGAAACACGGAAAAGGGGTTCGTTGGCGGGAAGTGTGATACCATGTAAGCAACGCTAGAACACTGCAGTGTGGACCATGGTGGACAATAGGGCGAGTGACAAAAGAACCACCTGTTTATCCACATGGTTGCCGCAGAAAAAGCCTATTGAACGGTGGTGGAATACATTGATTCTTGTAATTTGGTCATCTAGAAACCACGAAGAGTCACGTTCAGAAGAATACGCACCTGCACTGAACGAAAACATCCGCAATACTTCGACTGATTATTGGATTGCTCGAGCCCTTTAACAATATGCTGTCGAATTTCGGATGATTTCCTTACGGCTGAATTCGTCATCAACTGATGAGCATCCATCTGACTGTCCTCCAAATTGTGGTATCTACCCTACGTCGAACAATTTATATTTTGTGTGTAATACATGAAACGATGCGAAAAGAGGCTGAAAACCAAATCGGTAATTGAGAAATCCAACTTAAACTCCTCCGCGTCTGGTGGCAGGAATAAGCACTAATCGACGGTGATAAGTCTGTGACAGCCCTTGACAATTTCATTGATTGTTTGCAAAATTGATTAATTTCAAAGTAATTTCATGCAAATTTCTTGTTAGAATGGATTAATCTTGTACAAAATGCATAAAACTATTTTGTAATGCATTGTTCCTAAATAAAAAACTACTTCAAGACTTATAAATTTCAGAAAATATGTTAAGGTTTGAAATCATCTGCCGATTAAACAGAAGGTGAAGTCAGCCGACTAAATCCATCGACGAAAATCTATTAAATAGGCCGATTGCTCGGTGTATCACCAGACGAAAAACGATGAAATCTGCTGATTAATACACCAACTGAAATTAATTACAAGTGGAACTGGACAGCCCCAAGTTGTTGTTATTCACATCGTCGTGATTGTGCGCTGTTAAATTTGTCGATTTTTTATCACACGGGCTATCGTTATTCGTTTTTTCCGTTCGGTATACCTGTAATATTGTACTGGTTGTTAGTGGAAAGTGCAGTTCGTTGCGATAATCGTCTAATTAGAGCATATCTTGTGTTGTGAAAACAGTGAAAAAGTTATCCAATCAGACATATTGTAGTGTTGTCTAGCATTGGGCGATCTTGAGAATCCAATTCCTCTTTGCGTATTAGAGCATCTCCACCGCTGTTTCTAAATCACTTTTGGAAACTGAGTCAGCATGACTTCCGCCTGTGACCAATGCGCTAAACCAGTTAAAGGCGATGAAGAATCCGTCTCCTGCATGGCTTTTTTGCGACAGGATGATTCACCTAAAGTGCGGGTGAAAGAGCTCGGCACAATTGGTGTTGATGTTGGCTCGCTTGTAACTTTTTTTGTTGTGTTTTCGAAAGAAATTGATCGAAATTGTACCAAAAGGTCTTCTGAACGTGTTTCGCAGTTGGGTGTGGTGAAATTCGTGAATTCGCGGTTTATGTTCAGTGAAAATTCCGTGTCACAAAATTGCTCACCGAGTTTCCTTTTTTTTTGCCGTTCGACGACGACGGGTTTGCGAGAGAAAAATAAGCATCGGGAATTTGCTCCCGGATGTATTGATTTGGTGAGTACGTTCCAGTTGAAGATTGTTCTTATACATATCTCGATTGCATTTTCGAGGGGACGTTCGGAGAGCTTTGAGATTTAGGCGTTGTTGCATTTACGGACAGATGAGTTGGTCGCCGATGAGGGCCAGTAAGTGCTGCCAGCATATGAATCAAGAGGTATTCGAAACAAAATTGATAAGAAATGTCCATTCAAATCGATTTAATACAGTTGAACAAATTTCAAAGCTATATACCAGGCATTCTGTAATGGGTCACTCGAGCTGCAATAGAGCTAACACCTTCTAACTCCCGGACTAAACCTGCTTTAATTTAAGGGTAATAAAAAGCATTTTTCTTCCATAATAACACTGCCGGACAGTGGGGGTTAGATTGTACACACACACACCCACACACACACACACACACACACACACACACACACACACACACACACACACACACACACACACACACACACACACACACACACACACACACACACACACACTCACTCACACACACACTCACACTCTCTCACACACACACACACACACACACACACACACACACACACACACACACACACACACAGGGCTACAAATGGTGAATTGACAACCTGGGAAGAGCGTTTTTCCTATCTCTGGTCCTCACAAGTTCCTACCTCACACCTCCCCGTGGTGTAGCCTGGGCAATGTTGTCCTTCTGACAATAGCAAAGTGAGGGGGTGCGACGCGAACACTGGCGCGGTAACCATAACACGGCGATCGAGGAAATGCTTCGTCAACCCGCAGGAGTGCCAACCGGCACATTAGGATCGACGCCAGTAAGATCCTTATTATGGCATACTGGATACGGCATGGAACTATGGACACGACACGGTACAATGGATTGGATACCACGCTACAGGGCTGACAGTCGTGCTATTCTGCTCCCTAAGTAAAGAAGGGTGACACCTTCTTGAAATGGCGAGTGGGCTAATAGTGCGGCTGCCCCCGTCCCGGTAAAACCTTGGCAGGCCTCCGGATACGTTCAAAACTCGTCACCAATTGGTGATTGGTGAGTAGTAGACTCAGATGTAACATTCCTGACTTACGCCGATCTGGCTCTGAACACGGCCCCCATGAAGGACCGTGTCAACCCTAGCATGGCCTCCCTGCTTGCATAGATAACCATGGGATCACGATAGGCGACTACATACAACGAGTGGAGATAGCGGCCCGGAGGGGGGACCCAACAGAATGGAGAAAAACGGAGAAAAAAACAAAAAAGAAGAAAATGAGAAAACCCAAAAAAATATGAAGGACGACGGCAAGACGCCAGAAATTGAAAACGGAGGAGCGAACGTGTTCGGAAGGAGCGGGATATTGCAGAGATCACCAGTGTTGAACCTGGAGGCAACAGCGAGTTCCAACAGCAGCAGTAAGCCCCAAGGTGAGCAGCAAGGACACCAAGGAGAGCTAGGTCTTATGCTAAGCCAGGTGTTCACACCGAAATCCAGCAGTAGCACACCCCAAGAAGGATTGCAGCTTGGGAAGACCAAATTGATGGAGGTCAGGAGGAGGATCAATGAACTCCATGACTTCATCAAGGATAAGAGCAACGTCCACAAGGCAATAAAGGAAATGGTGACGGGCATCAAATCCGCCATTATTGCTGCCGAACGTGAACAGGATGCGCTGAGGACGAGGTCCGTAACTGCCGAAAGGGCACTGATCGAGGCCAAGGAGAAAGCAGCAGCTGAAATACAGGAGACGCCAAAGGGACCTCGAAATCCACGCTCGGAGAAGAGGAAAAGGGAAACTCCAGGAGAGGAAGAGGAGTTGAAAAAAGTCAAGAACGACAAGGAAGACAACAAGGAGGAAGGCTGGCGTACCGTCGAGAAGCCAAAGGAGAAGTGGAAAAAACGGAAGGAAAAAGACATGAAGAAGAAAGCTGAACAGAAGAAGGTGATACCCAGGACTCGTCGGGAGCGAAGTAAGGGCGATGCTCTGATCGTCGAAGCTAAGGACAAAACGTCGTATGCAGCACTCCTCCGGAAGGTACGAGAGGATCCGGAGTTGAAGCAACTAGGAGAGAACGTGGTGAAAACCAGGCGAACCCAGAAAGGCGAGATCCTCTTTGAGCTGAAGAAGGATCCTGCTATCAAGAGCTCAGCCTTCAAGGAGCTCGTCGAAA